AAGGACCGGAGCGAGAACCAAATTAGCCCTCCGGTCATCACAATCGACGTACAATCGGCGCTCTCCGCCTTCATCCAGACGCTCACCCAGAACCCGGGTGCCTTCGGCACTTTGGTTCCCCTCCAACCTCAGGTCGGCGAGAATATTATGCCTCCCCCTCATCCACACCCCCTCGGGAACCCGGTCCTCCGGATTGGGAACTCCGAGGGGGTCGTGGCCCAAGATACGGCCTCCCAGGAAGTCCAGTCCCGGGACCGCCACAACGTAAACAAAGAACAACTCCGGACCTCCGCCCTCGAGAGACTCGGAGGGGCGCAAGACCGCCGAGGGGTCCAAGACCGCCTCGGGGGGAAGGCGTTCCAGAGGCCTCAGGATAGTGGCGGGTCCGTCTCCAGGGCCAATGAAAGGCGTCCCCCTCAGGACAAAGGCAAGGCACCTCTCCATGCCAACGACGCCCGCCACCAAATCAACCAGGCCCACTCGGCCCGCGTCCATTCGCAGGGGGCGGAGGCCCTCCCGAAGGACCCCCGGGACGAAATCATTGCGGCCCTCCAGCGCCGGCTTGACGAGATGGAGGCCACCAAAGCACACGCCACCACTTCTGCCCCTCATACAGACCTCAAGTATGAGGCAATGTTGGCCAGGATGGAGGAAATGCAGAAGAAGATAGCCGAGGGCTCCGGGGAACCCACCATACAGCTCCGGACCCGGATGCCATTTACCCCAAGGGTATTGGCGGCCCGGATCCCGGAAAAATACCGAGGGCAGCTCATCAAGCCCTACGACGGAAAGACTGACCCCAAAGAGCACTACAACAGGTATCAAAACAGCATGATGATGGTGGGGGCATCGGATGAATATTTGTGCCGCTGGTTCCTCTCCACCTTAGAGGGGCCGGCTTACGAATGGTTCAATCGATTGCCCGAGGGCTGCATTGACTCATGGCAAGAACTCGCCCAGCGATTCTTGACGCAATTTGCGGGAAGGCGCCACACAAGAAAACACTTCTCTCACTTGCTGACAGTGAGGTAGAGGAAGGAGGAGACCCTTCGGGACTTCTTGGAGCGCTGGAGAACGGAGGCTGATAAAGTTGATGGCACTGACGACGGGACCCTCCTGGTCCTCCTCCAAACAGTACTCCGCCCCGGGAACTTCTCAAGGAGCCTCATCATCGAGCCTCCCCGCGATTATATAAGGGCCCTACAGCGGGGGGACCGGTACGCCGAAGCCGAGGAGGTGGAGAAATGCCACCACGTCCCGGATCAGCAGCGCCCTCGGCCAGACGACAAAGGTAACCGGTGGCCGGGGGCTCCCCGCAATCATCCCAAGGATTCTGCCCCCTCTGGTGATCGCCCCCGGCATGGCCAAGCCAAGCCCGGGGGAGGCTACAAGGGGAACCCGAGGGCTTGGGCGCAGCCTGTTCTCCTGGAGCACCCTCGGACACCTTTGACGCACCCCGTCAGCGTCATTCTTGATTTTGCTGAGGAGAGGGGCCTAGTGGAGCGAGATTCACGCGCACCCCCGGAAGTATTTGCCATCAATCCAAACTACCCCTACTGTCGTTTCCACCGGCACCAGGGGCACATGACCGATGACTGCCATCAGCTGAAGACGGCCATCGAAAGGTTGATACAAGCGGGCCATTTGTCCCAATTTATTCAAGGCCCTCAGCAACAGTCGGGTCCTATTTACATTCGGGACTCTTCTTTTAGTCTTATTTATGTCTATTTCTCTAAAGTTATCCTGGAATGTCGGCCAATCATCAACTTTTACTCTACATCGTACGAGGCTCATTAGATGAGCATTAAATGCGTACACTGTAGCTTTTCCATTGAAGTCTCCTAGTCGTTGAGGGAATCTTCCGTGGTTTCACCGGCTTAGGTAGATTTCTGAAAATCCTCTAAGTATGAGGCCTTCTGGGAATCTTGAACAGATACTTAATCAAAGAGGACTTCGAGCACTTCTGTCAGGATAGGAGTCAACAGAGGGCCTGGAGGTCTTCTGTCCAGATAATTCAGCAGAGAGTCGTGGGGGTCTTCTGACTAGAGAATTCAGCAGAGGACCTTGACACTTCTGTCAGGATAGAAGACAACAGAGGGCCTGGAGGTCTTCTGTTCAGTCGACTATTCTAAGAATGCTTACACTTAGAAAAATTCTAATACAAATTTCTAATGAGGGGTACTCTAAAATCCTAATTAACTAGCATCACCAAAATCTAAATACATTTATTCCTTACAATACTATCTCCGTCCTAAATTGATTTGCAAATTTGACTTTATTTGGTCAAAGAGTTTCATTTTATTTGCTTAATTAGGATGTCAATGTTTAATTATATTCTAATTTGGAGTTTGCTACTTTGAATAAATTTTAATGTAGTTTCTGAATATGTAAATTTTAACTATTAAAAATCAAGCTAGTTATCGGCAGAGAGGATTGACTTTTATTATTGGTTGATAAAAAAATATTGAATTTGCAAAATAATTTGGGACGGAGGGAGTATCATGTGAGTACATGTTGAAGTGTGTGTGTGCAATATTCATTTAATGTAACGATCTATTTAATTTAAAGATCTGTTAAGACTTGTTTAGTTTAAAGAAATTTGTAATGGTGTTTGTAATATTTATATAGTTTATCGATCTTTCTAATCATTATTCTCGTTTAATCATTATATTCTTATAGGTTGATTCATTGTTCACGCATAAGTGTTTAAAGAAGTATTCAGAATGCATCATAAAAAGAAGAAGTATTAATAATGGTTCTATTAATATTATCATCAATTAATTCGAATAAACTATTTTTTGTTATACAATTAATACGGAGTAGAAGATATGTTAAAGAATACAAACAAATCATGATATTCCTTTCTGGTGCGAATTTGAAAATAATTCACGCCGTAGCGGCCACAATACGCATCGCAGCGGCCGCTAGGGATGTGCACTATCCGGTTCAAACCGGAAAACCGGACCGAATCGGTCCGGAAAAACCGGAACCGGATCGAACCGGAATGATATCCGATCCGGTTTTCGGTTATGAAAATTTAGGAAACCGGCTTCCGGTCTGGTTCCGATTTAAAACTGGATTATTCTGGTTTGAACCGGATTTAACCGGTTTTGCAATATTTTTAAAAATATATTTACTAATACTAATACTACCTCTGTCCCTTAAAACTTTGCCAAAGTTGACCGGCACGAATTTTTTTTAATCCCAGAAGGCAAACCACCAAAATCAGTGGGGTAAATGTCGGGAGTCAGATAACAGGATTTTATTAAAATAAAATTGATTACAGGAAAGAGGGGGACTATACCAATACCTCTTTATAAGAAATGAAATGAGCAAAGGAATCAAATAGAATAAATCAATACTGAAAATGCTAAAAATTAACGGAAACGAAGCGCTACTATTCCAAACAGATCCATAAAATAGGCCCGCTTCGCCATCAAGGGTAAACTGTGTGGTTTAGATTTGTGCAGAGAAGAGAGAAATAACAGAAACCACAAAATAATTCATTAAAAGAGAAAGTGACAAAGTTTTTTGGGACGTCCCAAAAAGGAAAAATGGCAAAGTTTTAAGGGACGGAGGGATTATAATGATTATCCTAATATTATTTTTATCCATTCATTTTTATTCTCAAAATAATAAAGTTATAAAACTAACTAATATATATTATTCTAGTCTCAAGTTACTCCAATATTTGCTCACTAAAATTAATTAAAATGAGTTTAGAAAACAATAGTAATAAAAGCAATATTGTAATAATAAGTACTCCATCTTTATCAAATGATTAGTAGCTTTTAGCAAAGAAAAAGATTATTTATTTAGAAACCAATTTTCCGGTCCGGTTCCGGTTTTGAACCGGATAAACCAGTTTGGTTCCGGATAAAAACCGGAATACATCCGGTCCGTTTTTTGGTGTCCATATCATGGCAAATCCGGTTCTGGTTCCATTCTGGTTCAGTCCGGCCCTGTCCGGTTTTTAACCGGTGCACACCCCAGTGGTCGCATTAGCCACAACCACAACAACCACAACCACGATTTAAAATCTTGGACTAGACCAGATTTAAATAGATTAGATCATATTTAAACATTCTTACATAAGCAAATAACAATAACATCTTATAGATCTAGATAACAATAGTAATAGAAGTAATAATTATAATATTAATAATGATAACAATACTAGTAATAATTGTATAAACACAAATATGATAAAAAAATTATAATAGTAGTAAGAGTAATAATTATAATATTAATAATGATAACAATACTAGTAATAACTGTATAAACACAAATATGATAAAAAAATTGTATAAAAACAAATATGTACCATAATATATCTACATATCTAACAACAAGTTTTTTTATTAGTATGAAGTGATCCCGACTTTTTCGAACTGACCCGTGTGTGCTATTAAGATCTCACCCAAGATCTTGAGTGATTTGAATCCGAGTCTTTCGGTCTATTCAATAGATTCCCACCACCATCTAATAACATGGTTAAAAATACAAATTATTCATCCCATGCACGGGTAAGGAATGTAGTGTGTGGAATTGGAAACATGATAAATGAAAAAGAAATGCCCAAGCATGAAAAACAATATGAACTCCTATTTTGGAACGAGGTAATTTGAGTTTGAACATCATTTTTATGTTCAAGTTAGACTTTACACTACGTTTTTAAAGAACTTTGTACATGCACCCCAACCCTATATGAAAAGACTAAAATGCTCCTCAATCAGGAATATGTTAAAGGATATAAGAATTGTTAATGAATGAACATTTTTGTTTTTTCATATATGGTTAAGATACAAATACAAAGTTTTTAAAAAACATGGTGGAAAGTCTAATCTGGACATAAAAATGGGGTGTAAACTCAAATTACCCCTTTTAGAATTTACTCCTAGAAGTGCTGTAATTTTCGATAATTTTTCAATTAATTAACTTTTTAGTTTAATTCAAATTTGGTGTACAAAATGTTATTGAAAAATTAGAGTCGGATGGTGTAGGGAATGGCGTAGTACGACGACGGCACTAACGGATAAGAAAAGATTTGAATGCTCAAACTGCGTCCACACACACACACTCATGCAAATGGCCAATTACTCGAAAGCCCACATCTGCCAATGCATGAGCCGCGTCTCGGCGGCCCGCCGGAGCTCGACGGTGACGATATCCGGGGACAGAAGAAAGACCGGCGCACAGTTCGTGGACGGGATTTTGAGCCTCGCGCTTGGGCTTCGCCAACTTGGCCTTCAGCCCGGTGATGTGGTCGCCATTTCTGCTCTCAACAGGTTCTTCTGCAAACATCAGCCCTGAATTGAATTTAAATTTACTTAGCAGAATAAACTGAAGGAAAATTCAATCGACTTGCTAATAATGCAAACTACTGTTCCTTATATCACATCCATTCACAATTCTATTGCTCTTCACGATTTTTGTTGAGGGGCCAATTCTATTACTCCCTCTTTCCTTATCCTTAACTCCTCTTCTGACTCATCACGGAGATCAAGAAGGTTAGCATTGTTTGGTCCAGTGCCGGAACCAGAACAAAATTTGAGCAGGGGCTAAAAAATTTTTGAACCACTAGTCGGGAAGATTCATAATCTGTATCGTTTTAGGGTAATTTGGTAATTTGATCTCAAATTACTGTATAATATTATTTTCATTTGCATGAAGTGACACTTTATTTGTAACTATATATAATTCACACACAAGCGCACACATACATATACACATCAACTTAAATATCGACATTTATTCATTTGTATAACTGATTTGTTAGTGCCTAAACAAAATAATAGACTACATTTATTAAATGAGTTTATTTCGATTTAATACGTTTTCCCTTTTATTTTAGAATGAAAAGGTTTAAATAGAAATATAGCTAAACATGTAGAGGAAGATAAATTAATAACATACGGAGTATGTATATAAGTTACTAACTTATCAAGAAAATAATAATTTTTTTCTCTTTTCAAATAGCGTTACAAGTAGGTTATTTACTTTCTAAAGGATATTTTATTTTTTTGCAAAAGTATTACATGAATCTAATTATACTTATATAAAGTCAGATAGTTCAAATATCAACAAGAAATTTTGGCATATTTGTACTAATCCAAGGAATAAATATAAAATTCAAGTAGTTTTGAAAAGTTTATTGATAAACTTTTTATAAAATGATATAGGTCAATGTTTGAAGAGGGGAAGCAATAGCTAAAAGTCATTTTTTGTTGTTCTTGTACTAAACAAAAATGTAAATGACATGTTAATATTCGAAAAAGTACAAAATACGGAGTAAATATTTTGAATTTGAAAAATAAAAAATGCAACATAAAAGTAAAAGAAATGTGGTAGGAAAAATATTAAAACTAATAACATTCCAAAAGGTTAAGAGATAAGTAGAGGAAGAAGTGTAATGGAGTAGGTAATTAAAAAAGGAGACTGAGCAAGGATTCGAACCCAGGTCTCCCCGCAGCTTTAAAACTGTTCAGCCATCTATGCTACTCCAACTATTGAGTTAGACACGGGTCAATCAGTACATATTATTATTGAGACGGGGCTGAGCATGTATATATACATATATATACACTAAAACCTCCGGCGAACGGGGGGCGGCAGCACCGGCTTGCTCCCCCTAGTTCCGCCACTGGTTTGGTCTAAAGTTGTGCAAAAATGGGAAAATGGGTTTATATGATTGATAAAAAAATTAAAAATTCATGTATTTTTAATGTTTAGCTATATTCAATGTGGACTTTTAAAAGTATACAAAAATTTAAGTGTGTTCAATGTAGACTTTTAAAAATCTATTAAAGTCTAGGTGTATCTGCAATTGTCTCTTCTCCTCACCAAAGATTTTCGTAGACTTTTAAGTAGTCTCCTACTTGTCACAAGTATGCATAGATCTAGTTGCAGATTTGACTAATACTTACCCGAGATCACAAATCGCCCAACAAGTCCTCGACTAGTATCACCAGAGTCGGGAGGTGGGTACCAGAATGGTCTCAATATGCAAGATTTGAACATGATATTTTGATTTTTTTTATCATTTTACGATAAATAAAATTGAATAAGGAGATTCTACATTAATACCGATACACAAGATAAACATAAAAAAAAATTAAAAAGTGATATTTTATATGTCGTCTTATGAAGAAAAATGTAGGGGTGAGGTTGGTTCAATTCATGAAAGAAAGTTAGGAACATAAAGAACCATTAATCTCATATCAATTCAGTTCTAGAAGTGTTAGAAAAACCGATATAAGAATCAATAGTATTACATCGCTGCAACTGTGGCATGTCGTCAGTTAACGATTAAGAAAAAATATTTTAACTATTAGCGTGTTTCATCGTTAACCGCTAACACATAAAAATATAATTTCAAATTAATGAATATATAACCGCAATTACGTATACAAAATTTAACAAGCTAAAAATGAAAAGAAAACAATTATTAGTAAGAAAAACTCGATTGCACATATTCTTGTACCACATTTAGAAATGAGTGTAACACTTGTGTAAGTGTTCTTACTCTTGGAGTTGTGTAATATAACAATTGAACATAAATAGACCGAGAATGTTGAGAATTCTAGAAACTTTGAGTTTTTTAATAAAAAAAATTGCATTCTTATGCTTCATTTATTCTTGTTGACCTCTTTATTGCTAGATGAATGGCATTTGTTTCATTTATTTACTTAAATGTTTTTATGGTATTATACAGAAGAAATTACTCGGGATCAGACTAAAACATAGCATTTTCCCCAAAATATGATTATATGTTTGATTTCCCTTAAATAGGACTAAATATTACATTTTTACTCCTAATTTAATTAATTAATATAATTAATTTCCCTTAATTCCCTTGCACAACCAAAGCTGTTTTGTTGAGTGGATCAGTCTGATGATGACGACGACGGTGAGCTTAGATGAGGAGGCAAACAGGTAGATCGGTAGCGGCGATCTATGTGAAAATGCTGACGACTGGTAATGGTGTTCCGAATGTAGAAGTCAATGGATTTTTTGAAAGTCTATAAACTTATCCATGAATTTAAAAGTCAATAGAATCCATTCATAGAAAAGTCTATGGATTTAAAAGTCCATTGACTTTTCTAAAAGTCCATGGATTAAAAAAAGTGTAGCACAATCCATATTCAATACCAAAATAAGTTTATATGATTAATAAATTTTTCCTTTTACAAACAAATACTAATGTGGCAATTCTTTGTTTATTAAAATTATGCCCATACAAAATGAATCATATAAGAACAGATTAATTATGTAATCGTCAAACAACAACATTATCCAAGCCTTAATCCCAAAACTAATTATGTAATTGTAACTAACTTAAATTGTAATTGTAAGTAGGTATAAAAGGGGATCAATTTATATCTGTTAAAAATATAAATTGCTATTACAAATCTTCTATATATTATTTGCTAAGTTAAAGTTCCCGATTATTTAGTAGTTAAAACTGTTAAAAACCATCATCATCATTACCTCAGTGCCGCAATCATTACCTCAGTGTCGCAAAGGCTCCCACCTACAGTGGGGTAAGGGGGGGGGGGTCGGATGTACGTAGTTTTACCCCTGTACTAAAGCACAGAGAGTCTATTTCCGAATGACGCGTAGTGAAAATCGCGTCGAAAATTGCATAGGCTGACTGTTGTACTTCATTTCCGATTTGTGTGCTACTTCATTTCCTCTTTTTGGTTAAGGTAGTACCCTAAATATTACGAAGTATAAGCTTAAGTTAAAAATTCAATATAATCAATTAGAAAGTAAACTAGAATACAAAGAGAATGGTGACATTAGTGGTGTAAATGGTTCTGAGTGTATATACTGTTTGTTGTGATGTTCAAATATTTACACTATTTTGGTGTAAAAAATGGCGATATAGGTTGAAGTCTTGAAGATGAAGGTATTTTAAACTGTTACACATTGCTTTGTAACAGTGATTTATATTTGGAATGGTTACTTGCGGTTGCATATGCTGGAGGAATTACTGCTCCAATCAATTATCGCTGGGTTAGTGGGCCAACCCTGATCTAGTTGATTGTAATTAGTTTACATACTTGAACTACACAGTACACAATGGGCCAGGAATATGAGACCCAGTATTCTATGAAACAATATGAGGACCTTGTATTAAGTTCTTTCATGATATGCATTAGCATATTGCAACTTATCTCTCGGTAGTGCAGTACCTGGGTTGTTTTTGGAAGTTTAAAGTGTAGTATCACCAACCCGCCCCAGTTCATATTACATGGAAATTTGGGCAGGTTGAATTAAAACCACTCTTAAGGTAAAAGAGGGTTGAAATCCAATCAATAATGAATTGTGTTAAATTTAACCACCCATGATAGTATTCCGCATTCATTTTTTGTTCAACATATTCTATGTTACCTGATTTGTGTTATTTGAATCTCAAAATTCTACAAATATGATTGGTTAGTACTACCTATAAGATGTTTAAACTTATGCTGTACTTTTAGTCTTTAACCTGTTTTTGATCGGTGTTTTGTCCCTCCTAAAAACCTGGAGTTTCCTATTCGCAATCAGACTTTTGTCCAACTTTCAGACATATATGTATACAGTACAATTATACATATAACTGATAAGGTGAAAAAAGCGGATGCCTGAGATTCTAATCTGTATTTCTGGGAGGTGTTTGGTCATAGTAATTAATCTCAGCTTATAGAGCTTGGAAGAAGCAAGTGAGGCCGTGAAGGTGGCAAGGCCTACATTATTGGTCACAGACTCAGCGTTGAATTTCTGGCACTCCAAGTTTGATATAGACTCTATATCTTCACTAAGATGGCATGTCTCAATTGACATCCCTTTCGGAGTGGAAAGCACTTGGAATGGTATGAGTTAGAGTTTCCTTGCCTAAGTTTGAAAAGTCAATTAATGCATAACCAAGCTTTTCTTGTTCATGGATATCTCTCCTGTCCTTGAGTTGATGTATTTCTATATCTTGTTATTTTCTAGGGTTGACTACAAAAAAGCTTAAGAACCGCAATAACATATCTTTAGAAACTAATTATATGTGGGCCCCTGAGGGAGCTGCTATAATATGTTTTACCTCAGGTATTCATACTTCTTTCTTAATGCTTCAACTTTCAAGTGTCCTATTATACCTACTTGCTGATGCCTTTCTTTTCTTTGTAAATGGCAATTCACAACAGGAACCACTGGCAAACCTAAGGGAGTTACTTTAAGCCACTCTGCTTTGATAGTACAGTCCCTTGCAAAAATCGCAATTGTTGGTTACCGAGAGGATGATGTAGGTCTTCATGTGTTAAAAGAAAAGATAAGATGCCCGTTCAAACCACAAATGATGCATCCTGTAATATTCTTGAATTAATGCTCTCGCAATTCTTACAGGTGTATTTACACATGGCTCCACTTTGCCACATTGGTGGAATGTCATCTGCCATGGCTGTGTTAATGGCTGGAGGCTGTCACATTTTAATACCCAAGTTTAATGCTGGATTGGCTGTTGAATCCATTCACCAATATGCTGTCACCTCTTTAATTACTGTTCCAGCTATGATGACTGATCTAGTATCATTTTACAGGTATGCAAGGTGGCCTTTAGTCTTTAACACTATAAGAATATATATTTGGAGTATATGGGGGTAATTGGTAAAATTATGCCCATTTACATCTGGATGCCTTCTTGAGACCTTCCCTAGCAATATTGATGAGTGAATATATTGGAATACTAATTACTAACTTGCTCACTGTTAGCATGTTCCCTGCTTGATAACTTCACCTATACATGTGCAGAGTGATTTAATAATGCTGTACTTTGTTAGTTAATAACATATGATAAAGTTGGAATCTTTCCTATCAATGTAATGGAGAGCAAGAGAACACATTTATTTAGCGCACCATCACCTTTTCGAAATTCCATTTCATGTTTTAGAAATTTTTACAGCAGAAAAGGGGAATCGGAAGGGTCACCAACAGTGAAGAAGATACTTAATGGAGGTGGAGCTCTTTCAGTTGAGCTTATCAATCATGCTGCTAAAATATTCCCAAGAGCTAAACTTATATCCGCGTACGGTATGTACTGTATTTTTTCAGTAAAAAAGATGGATCCACACATAAATTTAGGTCAACTTATTATAACTTACAAGTGGTCAGCTGTTCAGGCAATGTGGTTTTCATTTTTATGTACTTTCAAGGGAAGGAGTGATATTGGTGAAATGGGCTATTAGGGACTGAATTAAAATTTGGTAGGATAAGGGCATGACGTGTTAAAGCCCCAATGAGTGAAGGATACGAAAATGGAATGTCATTACCTAAAGCTCTTGTTTCGAGTGCTTCTAGAGGCATGGAGAGCATTGAAGCTTAACTGTAAAGAATAATGTAGTTTTGTGGACTCAGGACACAGACTGTTATCTATCAATTCGGGGTCCGAAAGATGAAAGATATCGATCTAAGTGTCTAAGATCCTCTAAGTATTTCTGAATTGGAAATAGCATATGTAACAAAAACACCCATTCAAACACACGTACAAATGAAAAATGCCCAATTTGTCCATTTAGCAGGTTTCCTACAGATATCCAGGAATCACCATCGCATCACCTCCAAGTCACAGCCACATTGTCCTAAACCTTACCAACTCACCATCTTATGAATTTATTTTATTTCCTTCCTCTTTCCATTTTCTTTCATTTCTTTCTTTTCATGCCATAATTGGCCAACATGGACAAGGTACGGTACGGTACCTTGAGGTTACCACAGAATTTTGTCATATTCATTCCATCCCCCAAGATCTTGCCAGCATCTATGGCATCTCAGAATTTTCGGCAACCTTGAGGGAAAAAAAAGAAAAAAAGTCATGCTTCTTAGTTTCTCTATTACTCCCCAAATTCATAAGAAATGACAGGAAAAGATGATTGTAACATGCAAGTCCAATCCATGGCCTACTATAATAAACACTTTTCTTATACTTCCAGTTTATTTGGGCTGGATGCGGTGGAGTGTAGGGTGGTCATGGTCACAGGCGATGAAGTGGAGGTGTAGGGGATGTGCTAGATGCCATGGAGGGTGGAGGCAATGGATGCAGAACACAAAATGGTGTATCTGGGAGAAGAAAGAGAAAAAAAGAGAAGGGAAAGTTAAATCATCATCATCATTATTACCCCAGTGCCGCAAAGGCTCCCACCCTACGGTGGGGTAAGGGGGGTTGGATGTACGCAGTCTTACCCCTGTGCTAAAGCACAAAGAGACCGTTTCCGAATGACCCAAAGTGAAAATTGCATCAAAAATTGCATAGATTGACTGCTGCTTCATAACAAAGAAGCGCATACAGTTTAGTGAGCCATTTTTCTTGTGTAGCCACTTGTGTAGCCATGTAGAAGAAAGATTGGTTGCTTTTTCTAAGTTCATGTGTGTAATTGGAGTTTTTTGGGTGCGGGGGCAAGAGATAGCCGTTATGAAGATAGTAAGCGAAACTATTTGACATTTTTGTGTTTAATATATAATCGGCTAAGAATTTTTTTAAAACAACGGGTTATTGATGATTAACCTATCTTTTGGGTCTTGAATCAATAAACCCCAATATTTATCTATTCTGCAGAACCTTACAAGGATTAGGATTTTATGGTCACATACAAGCAGCGTGTGATTGAGATTTCAGTTCTTTTGTATGGAATTATAGCCTTTCCTAGTATTTATATTCCTTGATACCTTGATTCAGACATGAATGGTGTTATATTTCAAAAATGTGAAGGGATGACAGAGGCATGCTCTTCTATGACATTCAAGACTCTCTATGACCCAGCAAAAGAAAGTGTTAGACACGCGCTCCAATTAAATAATGATAGGGACTCCAATTCGGCAAGTCAACAAGAAGGCATCTGTGTTGGAAAGCCTGCCCCACATGTTGAATTAAGAGTTTGTGCAGAGAGTTCATGTCGTAATGGGAGGATACTAACACGAGGCTCTCATGTAATGCTTGGATACTGGGGCCAGATATCAAACAAAACTTCCAAATTTGCTGGTGAAAACTGGCTTGACACAGGTGACATTGGTCATATAGATGACCATGGCAATATCTGGCTCATTGGGCGTTCCAAGGGTCGAATCAAGAGTGGAGGAGAAAATGTTTATCCTGAAGAAGTAAGTTGCCTTCATCGTCACCACTTTCAAGTTTCATCTTAACTATGTTGGGGTCTTTGTCATATTACACTATAAATTCATGCAAAAACCATATAACATTAGTATTTGCCTCTAGATGAGACAATACGATACATAAAGCCACATAGGCTAGAAATAATTGAAAACTTGTTATGAAGCTAGAAATTATATTGCTTATTATAATAATAATGTAGCTAGTATGGTTAATTTGCTAATGTAGTTTTTAAAATCGCAGATGTGCTGATTAACTTGGCATTCTGTAGTATTTCTTCCACACAAACTGATGAATACTAAGTGATGCCAGAAGGCTAGAATGGTCTATGCAATCCGTAATAAATCTGTAACACTGACAGTTCAAGTTTTAAAATAAAAAAAAAATGTCTTGCCTATACTACTATAATGTTTACTTGTCTGTGCATGTTACAACCTGCCGATAGAACATAAGAGTAACTCTTTTTTGGTTGTTCTGTGATCATAAAGAATTGTATGTGGCATCCAGCCTCAAGCCCTCCTACAAAAATAACCATATTTGTCTTGTGCAAAAGGTAGAGGCTGTCCTGTCACAACATCCTGGTGTTTCTGGCAATGTAGTTGTTGGACTTCCAGATTTGCGCTTGGGAGAGATGGTTGTTTCCTGCATTCAGCTCAAATGCAATTGGCAGTGGGATGATTTAAGCTCCAGCCCTCCATCAGTTAACTACTTGTCTGCTGACATCCTCCGCTGCTTCTGTAAAGAAAAACAATTGACTAGGTATGTCTTTAATCCATCATCTGCACCTTTGTGACATCTGGAATATATATATGAGAGCATTTGATGCATGGTATCTTTCTTTAAGTCGTTGATGCTAAAATCTTTTCCAGGTTTAAAGTACCAAAAAGATTTATTAGGTGGAGGAATCAGTTTCCAGTGACGACAACAGGCAAAATAAAAAGAGACCAAGTCAGAGCAGAACTCATGTCTAATATGCAGTCAATGTCCAGCAAATTATAGAACATATTTCTTGCAGTCTGTAATAAATTATAGAGAAAGGGGTCAATTAGACCCTTCCACAATTGTACTAATCACATTAGCCAAAAAAACGGATGATGACCATTTTTTCTTTTTCTTTACTCTCTCATTCTTCTTCCTTTCTCTTTCTTGGTGGCATGTTTGTCCTACTCCCCCTTAATTCTTCTCCGTCCTTTTTATGTTATTATCTTCACTTTTTCTTTATCCTTTTCTTTTTCTTCGTTTCCTTTATCCTGAATCTCCATGGACGAAAGAGAGCTTGGGTCGATGTACTTCATCAAAGTAGGGAGCACTTGTTTCATCACCTTATACATGCAGGCATGCACGTGCCTCAACTATGTACTCTTCTCCCATTCCCACTGTCATCCGCTTTCTTTTCCTTCTTTGCGGCGGCTTTTTCAGCGGGTTATCATTATTCTTTTATTCAGCTGAGATCGGCAATTGATTATGGGGATCTTCTTTAGCTGCCGACGGAGTTGACACTACTTCCACGGTTGTTCTACTTGTTCCTTTTCTTTGAAAATGGTAATGTTAATTTGATATGGGTTAAAAAATTAATAAAATTCATGACAACTTAGGTCCCAGATCGATAAATTTAAATCATTCAGGTTCTATAATGATAGTTTTTCATCATTCAGGTCCTATGTTGATACATTTCATCTTTTAGGTCCCGGATTGATAGTTCATCTATCTTTCGGATTCTGAATTGATAAAATCCTTAAATTAAGGAAATTAGGCACATAACCCATTTTATGAATAAATTTAATGATTTTGAAATTACTTTTCCTAATATTCTGATTGAATATGCAAGTAAATATGTCAAAATCTCTAAATCATATAAAAATACTAATCAATTTTCTTTTATTTGACAATTGAATTTGTTCATATAAGGGATTTTGCGCATAATTAAATAAAACACAAGGGGGTTTGTCGCATTTTTTAAATCACAGAGGTTAATGAGTCTGTGATTTGGTGCACTAAACCGGAAGTAAAAAACGAAAAAGAAAACAAGAGTGAAATCCTACACGTGGACCAGCCATGTTGGCATACTAACCTGCTAACCCATTGGTAGCAGTTAAAGTACTTATTTGATTGGTTTTTTAAAGTTGGTGGATCTAATTGAGTGTTCTTTTAGTTTGAAAGCTTAATTGACTTTTTTTGATATATTTGGAGGATTTATTTGACAATTTTTCCTAGGAAAAACATTTTTGTGGTCCTATTTTGAGAAGAAGCTTGACATTGACAATTTTCTCTTGAGGATAATACCTTGCATAATTATGCCAACTGAAACTGTGGTGATGATTTAGCTGTCTTAGAGCCTGTTTGGTAGCACGAAAATCGGCTGATTTGGTTGATTCAGCTGAAACTTATGAAGTTCTGGCTGAAGTGGCTGCATTGACTGATTCTGCTGATTTAAGA